TTACCCTACTTATAACCCCACTTTTTGCTACCCATGAACCTCCAAGTAAACCCTAAACACACACACACACACAAAGCGGGGCCAAAAGCCAGGCTGCGGGATGGAAGCCTGGTCTCCGGCGCATGGCTCCTCGATCCAACTCGCAGTTACATGTTATAAAGCCTTACAATATAGAGGCCTTATAATAATTAGAATAGGGTTTGGGGGTATATTATACTATAATTATACTAAGGAACCCCCAAAACCCTATTCTGATAATTAAGGCCCCTACATTACCTACAAAACCGTCTGAAACCCTGAACGGAAGCCTTATAGCTTCTCTATAGTTACAGCCCTGAGGCCTTAGCTTCAAAGTTTCAAGCTCACGACTCGTCGTACGTCGCACATGCCTGACAGGATAGTTCGACGCCCCCCTGCAGCATCCACGAAGTCCGTAACCCTCCTCGCACCCTACCAAAACCTGCCTTTTTAGGGTCCGTTGACATGATTTCGTTTTATAGTTCCGTGAAAGGTAACCAGAGCGGTTTCTGGAGGTTGCGGTACAGCGATTGGGAGGTTTATGCCATCTTAGCCCCTGTACGCATTGAATCGTAAACCCTGTCTGTCTAAAGTCTATAGTATAGGATCACGGCGTTTGAGCTCGATGCTGGTTGCGTTCGAGTGCCGGTCCTGGTGGTGTGTTCATGCTTCTGGCCCTTGCAGTGACGGCTCGGAATTTCCCTGCAAATGTTACCCAACCCCTCCAGGTACCTACTACTAAATAGGGTATTAGAGCCTCTAGGGCCCTATATCTTAGGTATCTGGGGGGTTAGGTTAGACTGTCCGACGCAGGCGTTGCATGCGAAAGGGCTGCAGTCCTTTGGCACCGTCGTGTCGGCACCGAAGGCCAGGTTGTGTTGCGTCATGGCTCCGCGGCCGTGGGGGTAGCGTCTAGCGGGCTTGAAGATGCGAATCTATGGAGAATCGCGCCTGCGCCCGAAACAGAAAACAACATAGGCCGTGTCTCAACTCGTTAACTTCCGACTTTGAACTCCCCAAACTCCTGAAGCTTCTCTGTGCTGCTGCTACATCCAGAAGCTAGGGAGTCTCTGGCCGCTTTACCTCAGGAATCTTCTTCCTTTGAGGATTTTTTGGAATCCTCGACTGTAAGCCAGCCAACTTTAAAGCCCTGCACTTATTCTGACAGGCCAACTCGATGCATGTCCCCGTGGTCCTCGTGGCTGTGGGTCACTCGGTGGCGGCGCTGAACGCCACTTCACGGGCGCTCCGTGCAGCGAGGCTGTGAGCTATCCCTGTGTGAGATAAGGTTCCGAAAAGATCTCATGACAAGGTTCCAGTAAGGTGCATCCCGAGCCCACAGCTTGCAGCATTCCGTTGGCAGCGGAATGAGCGTATCATCATCATCATCATCATCATCATCTTCATCTTCATCTTCATCATCATCATCATCGTCATCATCATCATCATCATCAGCATCATCATCATCATCATCATGCACTATCCTCGTTCAGCGGCATCATAATGTTCAATCATCTTCACGGCCACGACCACTTTGATCCTGTTCGTGCTTGCTATCATGAACACTCCCGTGTCTTTGCAGTGACATCAGCATGAACCGTTTCATCATCATAATAATCATCATCAGCATCATCATCATCACCAGTCTCGTCGTCACCCTCATCATCATCACCACTGCATCACCACCACCATCGTGCTAGAGTTATCTCCAAGATGGTCATCACGGCTTTGCGGAATTGGCCGGCGGTTCATCCCCAGGTTCCTTCATGATGTAGAAGTTACACAGCCGAAGCTCGGTGCATTCAGGCATCTCTGAATTACCTCACATTGGAACAGGTCGTGATTGATTCCGCACGGCAGAAAGATCTCGATTTCGCACGGCAGTAGGATCTCGTTAGTCCCCTCTTTCCCCAGCCCTACATTCCCTACATCCTAACGGCAAAGTCGAATTCCCGCTGCATCCACCCTGGTTGGCTGCAAGGGGCTTCGACCCGTCACAGCTTCAAATTTTCCTCGCCTGCTGCGGCGCACAGGTCAGGTCGGGCCGATCTTTCGAGTTGCTTCTACGTTTGTTCAAGTTTAGAGCTCGAAGGCCGGTGTACATTAGCTTTCCTTGGTGTCTTCTTTTTCTTGCTCGGTTTAGAACTTGGTCTTGTGACCTAGGTTCACTTGCCAAGCCTGCGAAGAGCATTCGGGCTTGGAATCTGGAATATGAGACTTCGCATGAGGATTGTCTCGACTGAGATATTCAGCGACGGCCAAGTCATGTGGGAATAGCGTACTTAAATAGATTTGGTGTTCGTCGTATTAGTGAATAGTGCTAGCTGTAGTGTCAGTACCAGTAGAGATATTCACATTATCTTTTGTATCGCTAGTGTTGGTATGGATCATTAGTGGTAGGGGTAGCAGCAGGTCGTATCATAGTAGCAATTAGCAACAGCTAGTAGCACGGTCAATAGCAGTGGCAGTCACAGTCGTCCTAGTACTAGTAGTAGCAGTAGTAGCAGTAGTAGCAGTAGTAGTAGTAGCAGCAGCAGCAGCAGCAACAACAACAGCGTCAGTCGACATAGTAGTAGCAGGAGGGGTAGTAACAGTCGTCGTCGTTGTTGTGGCGAGATAGCCGTCGTCGTCGTACCCGGGAACGCAGCAGTGCTTCCGAGAGCACTCGGTTGTCTCTTTAAATCTAGCCCAGATTTGTTTTCGGCTTTGGTTTGGGGTACCATTGTCTGTGTATGGACGAAATGCTTGAATGCATGTGTGGGGTTTGTCAAAGGGTTTTGGCCTGTGTGAAACGTCTGGTTCTCGCAAGGTATCCATGCAAACAGCGAACTCCATAAAGAGGATCCCTCAATCACACAACTTGAGGATGCCTTTGACAGGATCTTCTTTGCCGTTTCCTGGGCTCCCAGATGAGCTGTGACATAGCTTTGCATGTATATGCCACTGTTTCGTTTAAGCGAAAGTAGAACTAAACCCGAAACCCTTTAAGCAGCACTTGAAATAGACGGTTGCTGCTGCAAGTGATGATGTGCGCAGCTGAGCTGCAGCAGCCCATGGAGCTCTCTCGGATTTACGAAAAAGTATTGTAGGGGCCTTAACAAGTAAATAGGGTGTTGGGCTATATTCTACTATAATTATAATAAGCAGCCCCCAAAACCCTATTCTAATTATTCAGGCCTCCTGTATTATCTGCATCTTAGGCACATTTCCAACTCTGCTTTTGGAAATCTAGACACGAAGACAGAAGTGATCTCCCAATGCCTCGTTGATGACGGTTCCGGCGCCTCCGGCGTCTGTGAGAGGTGCCACTGAGGCAGGGCAGGGAAAGGGAATTTGTCAAACATCCTTTTGTATTATTGAACTATTCTTATGATCACCCTAGTTATCATTCCTGTACGATACATGTTTTGCCATGAAAACCACAACCCCGACATTTAGTGCTCGAGCAAGCCAGAAAGGCATCGGTGCCTGGTGGTGTTATGTAGGTTTGGCATCCCTGTTGCTGCTTAACACAAGGTCTTCAGAAGTTGCCTTCATATTATAACTTGTAGTAGAATTTACCATGCTTGTAGGGTGTAATCCCGTAGCAAACCACAGGTAGCTGCAGACAGCCGGACCCCTCACGGCGCCTTTCTAGTTATACGACAATTATTATACCCACCCCCTACCCCACAAAAAAGCAAAAAAAACTGTTCCAACCAATCATCGCTCGGCTCCTAAACCCTAAACCCTTACATTAAACCAGGCACTGCAGGTGGCCTTCGCCATTGCAGCTCTGCTTTCCGGAGCGCTCTTAGTCGCTGCATTGAGCCACTGCGCTGCACATCTGGCTAATCGAGGGGCCTTAATAATTATACCTATATTAGTATGGGGTTCCTTATTATGATTATAGTGAAATATACCCCAAAACCCTATTCTAATTATTTCAGGCCCCTACATTAGGGGAGAGGGTTTAATAAATACAGAGGCCTGACTAAAAGCTAAGGTTTGTCCTGAACGACGGGTTCCTGATGGTGATGAGAAAAGGACACATCAGAGCCCTGTTGTAATTCTTAAGGTCCCCAGTTTAGGGGGGGGGGGTTGAGCCTCACTATCTAAGATGCCTAGCTCGAGGTCTACATATCTGGGCTAGGTGTCCCTTAATCCTTCACTTTCCTTTGCACTGAACGGTCCTTGTATGATGTAGCATAGGCCAAGACGATCCTCAGACGGCTAAGCCTCTCAGAGGGTTCGGGATTCTGGTTCTGGTTGTGGCCTCGGGCATAATTGTGTCGGGTTGGAGGTCTGGTGATTTTGGCTTCGGGATTGCTTGGAGGTTCATGGGTAGTTATAAGTAGGGTTATAAGTCCCCTAACATGGGTTATAAGTATAGTTACGCTACTTATAACCCCACTTATAACNNCTACCCATGAACCTCCAAGTGTGCTGTACGGATGGCAACTAAATCGCTCTGTCTCTCCCGCTCTCCCTCTCACACTGCCCCCTTTTGCTCGCCGCTCTTGCTGAATCCAAACACGCTTGCCCATTCGAATCTATGCAACCCTCTCCGACGCGGGGGGATGTGAGGCCTTTTGCTGCTCCAGGGGTTTGCCGCAGGATCAGCATGAACATGTTCACGCAGCTTATACGGTGAAGGACGATGGCCCAGATTACATATTCAGGGTGTGCAAGGCCCTTGCAACAAGGAGACATCAGTACTATAGATCCTCCAAACCTAGCCCAGCAAGAAGCCACGAACCTAATCCCTAACCGCTAGCCCAACCTTCAGTTTAAGCCCCGACATCCCGAATTCCAAAACCCCCACTGCCCTTGAGGCTGGGACGTGTGGAGCAAAGTGCTGACAAGCCAAGAGGCGAGGTGCTGTCAAAATTCTTGCGATCTACATGCTACACCTATCGGATATCTTTCGATATCAGATACCACCCCAAAGCCAGCCCCAATACCTCAGGGGCTCTACTTATAGGGTCACAGGACACATGAATGAGGTCGCGCTGCTTCTCTTAGCATAACGACATCTCCACTATGCTCCTGACGAAGACCATGCCATGGGAAGAACCATGAGTGGTCTTACCCTTGAACTTGACAAGGGTTTGCGTGTGGATGCCTTCGGCTGATCTAGAAGCAGAAGGAGTGTGTTGCTGCAGGACTGACTGCAGGACTGCAGACAGACTTGGAAAAGTGGAGTGCGGGAGGGGGGGGGGGGGGGGCAGGTTTGCCACGTGGAAGAAGGCTTACGGCGGACTGATTTCTGCCATTGGTTGTGTTTGTATCGTAGACCCCTTTCACTTGGCGTATCACCGATTCCTTGTCGATTTAGGACACGGCCCTAAACCCTAAACCCTAAACCCCTAAACCCTAAGCCCTAAACCCGAGTCAACGGCAGTTAGCTGCACGGTAGTGCATCCCAGGTGGATCGCCACTCGCTGCATGCTCATTTCAACCTCGCTGAG